AACTTTTTTGGAATCCCTCAGCATCTTCACCGAGCCTTATGAGGTAATCACTGTGGAAATGCAGATTATGCGGATTCTGGAGCTGACAACACCTACAGCCCAATCTCAAATTAGTTGACTAAAATTAATTATTACTTTGGGAACTCAGAGTAATTTAACATTCAGATGGTCAATTGAAACACTAATATGAAAGAAGAAAAAAAAACAGTATAGTGAAATCATAGAACAGTGTGATCTTCTTATCCTTGAGTCCAACAGACAACGTATGAAACTCTCACATATCCTCCTAAATAACAATAAAAGTCCTTTAAGTAGCAGAAGTGTTTCAACGCTGAAGTCTAAGAAACATTGACTTTTACAGCTTTACAGCTTCCTTGCTATCTATTGGTGAGGGTGTTTGTGGTTGAGAAATACGCTGCAGCTTGAGAGAACACTTCTTGAGAGATTGTTCATAAACGAATCTGCAAGAAAAGCTAGTTTGGACTCTTACCAAAGATTAAGGTCTGTGTCAGCACTATTACCCAGGGCCAGCATCTTTACATTTTCCAAAGGACACTCGTCCATCGGTATGAGTCCTATCAAAAATCTGAAATGTGAAAAAGTCAGTTAATTATTGTATTTCTTTTTTCTGTCTTATTCTAAGGGGAATATTGTAAGTTCTGAACTAAGGCTATTAAAAAGATGCATTTACTCTTCTAAACTGTAAAAAGGTACATCGAATTACATGCAGTTAGCAGATCTGTGCATGAGTAAAAAAAAGACAGGAGAAACTGTTTAAATCTCATCTCTGCAGCTTGAAAGGTACACGTCTATCACCTTTTAAACTTTCTAATTTGATGCATACAAAGAATGCAATATTAATTCATCTTTAATTTATTCTATACCTTCAGAAGAATAATACTTTTAGACTCCATTATAATGCAATTTAGCAGAGTAGTTAGGCCTCTTCTAACTATTTTAAATACAGACATATTTAGCAACTTACCGGACAGATGGAGCTGTGTAGAACATGATGCACCATGCAATTGGAAAGAACAGCAAAAGTTTTAAAATGCTCCTTATCCTCTGAATGATCCTGTCAAGAAAAGTATTTTTTAATATCAACATTAGAGGGTAAAGAGAAAAAATATATGTTTGGTGGATATAAAAAAGTCTAGATGCCAGGATTTTAAATGAAATGGAAAATGCTTCAGTAACTTTTTTGCACCTTTTTACGTTTTTACCTTTGCAGAATTTGTCTAAAGGCAGAAGAATTTTCACAACCTATCTCATACAAAACATCTAACGAAGTGAGGACCTCTCTTGTCCACGCTATCAAAACTTTACATCCCTTCAGCTTGTCTTTAAATGTAATGTTAAAAAAAAAAGTTCTTATATTCAAGGTTTCTAGCATTTACCCAAAAATTTTGGGTCAGAGCTGACTGATATTTAGAGCTTCTAATTATTTCATCCTGTTTGCCAACATCTTTGGAGAAAAGTCGCCCCACAGCAAGATGCTACCCCTCCCATGTTTTCCCAACTTTATGGAGTTTAAAAATAGCTCAGTGTTGATTCAAGGTGCAGCAGTCTCATTTATCAAAGAATGCATGGAACCTATACTAAAAGTTTGAACATGCCCAAAGGCCGAGAGTGGCTCAGATAGAATACATTTTAGATCTATCACACTATACACACAAAAAAAACAGAAAATTTCTATGATTTATTACACCTGTGCATAAAAGGTTCCACCTTATGATGGACCACCCTGCATGGTCCATGCAAAGCAGCGCATAAATACTGTTGTATATTGAAGCGAGCCAGCTGATCAATGTTATTGTTACAGATGCAAACCAGAAGGAAGAGGGCAAAAAAAACCTCAGTTTAACCGAGGCAGAAACAGGTTTGTGAGCTTAAGAGTCATATAGATTTGTCTGATAGCCAAAGCAGTTGCGTAAGAAATAAAAAAGAACTATTATACTATTATATACGGAAGAGGATAAAAAAAAAAAGTTAACTGATTTTTACATTTTATTTCAGTTTAATATGGGATGGTGCCCAGAATTCTAACTTTAATCTCAGAATTCTGACTTTTTTCTCAGAATTCTGACAGCTAACAAACATGTTAGCATCAAGCCATAGCCATGTCTGTTTTAGAGACTAGTTTTCTTGTTTTAATGACCTTCTGCTCCTCCATTAATGAGGGGACCCCTCGGGCAAGTAAAAAGTTGCTTAATTTCGTCATTTTCCACCAATGTGTCACTGGCCACCTCAAACAACTCACATCTTTGTCATTGAAGCTGAGTGCTCCCACATCTCTTCCTTGATGGTGCCAATCTACATTAAGATCCAAAATTCTGAGATTAAAGTCAGAATTCTGAGAAAAAAGTCAGAATTCTGAGATTAAAGTCAGATTTCTGGGGGGAAAAAGTCAGAATTCTGAGATTAAAGTCAGAATTCTGAGAAAAAAGGTCAGAATTCTGACTTTTTCTCCCATGTTAAACTGGCCCTAATCCTCTTTCGTAATTCTAAATGAAAACATGAGTGTCAGATGTAGCCTGATCATATGTATAAAGCCGTCCGAGGTCGCAGGTAGTATTTTCCTGAATTATTTTGTTCCTAAACTTGGCTTCAGGCTGACAATTTATTAAATGTTTATGATGTTTTTAATTTGTGGGAGATAACGGTAATAATTAACGGTAATTAAATAAGATTAATTAAATACATTAAATACTATAAAATATAATTAATATATTATATTAAAAATAAAAGTGTAGAATATCAATCTGTCTTCAATTCTTAACCTCACTATCTACATCAGGCTTTACCCTTGTGTGTGTCTGCGCATGGGGCAGAGTTTGCTCCATTCTTCCGAAGCTTCTTTCAGTCTAGACAAACTGATAAAACTGGTATTGCATTTAAAACACAACTAATCCTAACTAGATACCTCATTTTATTGTTGATGTCCACCTCTTGGCAGCGCTTTCCCTGTCTACCCGTCAAGAAAAACACTTACACTCTCCTCCTGACTGTTATCTTTATACTGTACAATGAGACTATTTTAATTGTGGGTTAAATCTCTGCAAAGTTCTAGAACTGTTGAAATGTATTTCATGTTTTCCATCATCACTGCAGTTGATAGCAGATGTCTATAAGAACTGGGAACTAAATCAAAAGATGCTTCCGCAACATATTACCGTAGTTTAACGATGTACATAATTACCCCATTCTCAGATTTTTTATCTACTATTTCCCCTTTTTTGTGGATTGTGCTAAATATGTCACATCAAAGGTGGAAAAAAGCTCTCATATGATTCATCAAAGGATGAATATAAAAAGTTTTTTTCAGGCCTGAGTAGCCTTTTTTTATGCTCATAGAAACACAATAATATTCACCTACATTGTCGATTGTTTTTGTTGAACTCTGTATACAGGAAGAAAACTGTGGGCAGAGAGTGACAGCGGTCATAGATTCATAATTGCTGTAAGACAAGAAAGGAAACAGTTTCATGTCATCTGAAATTAACATCTTTGAAATAAAATACAAAAAAGATCCAATCCTGGAAGGTCAAAGCACTGTTACTGAGTTAGAAGATTGCAGCACAACAAAAAGGCACATTAGCAGAAGTTAGAAGTTTAGAAATCTTTATATACATCTAAATGGCTTTAAGAGTGGCCTGGTTTGTTTGGTTTCAGGCTGCAGCTTTACAATGTAAACTCTCAGAGGTTAACGACAAGAAGGAAAACTTGATTAGCAACAGCGCAACAAGACAGAGATGAGTTAGTTTCTCTAAGAAATCTGTTTAGGAAATAAACAGAATATAGTATCATGGATATTGTAGAGTATCAGCAGAAACACATAAAAAAGATCCACAGAGTTTTCTTTACTTCGAGTTTATCTCTGGATAGTTGCTCATTTCAATGACAAACCAGTCATTGAAAGTAGATTTACTTGCCCATATATTAATGCAACTGTGTGAATGAAACTGTGTTCGTTTTCTCTTTTTCTTTAAATGAAAACCTTGGCTAAGGCTGCAAAGACAGAAAGAGGCAAAGGTTGTTGCCTTATTTAAAGAACTCATTAATCACTATGTCCTTTATGTTAAAGATGTTGTTGCTTTTGATGTTGTTTCCTGGTAGATTTCACATATATGATAGGGCAGTAAGAAAGTAGATTCAAATCATAAAGTAAACAAAAATATTAAAATATCTACCAATTACCGCCTAGAAAGCATTAACTTTACTTGAAGCGATTATGCAATTACATCTGCAGGTGTTTAAACGGTATAGCTCTAAGAGCCAGATAAACAACTTTTCCTTGTTTTTCTTTTCTATTTTTTTTTTTTGACAGCACTAGTGGCCGTGTCAAGGACTAAGGCCTCCATATATGGGTCGTGTGCGCTAACCACTGCGCCAACAAAGCACCCCATTCCTTGTCTTTCTTAAAGCTTTTTTTTGAAGACGTTGGAACACCCTGAGCTAAAATGTCAAAAATGAAATGTTAGTTTGAGCAACATGTCACTGTGGGCTGTTACTAGTTTATGTGATGGTGACTCAGAGCAAAACCTTTTGCTGAAATGCTGATGACAATGTCACATAAAGTTTTTTTTCTGGTTGTATTCCTAAACAATAACGGCTTCAGGAAAAACTAAATATCAAAAAGTCAGGCTTTATAAACAGACAACCACAGCTGGTGTAAGTTGAAAAAGGCTATTTTTAAAAAATCTGCCAACATACAGAGGATTTCTGGAGATTCAATTATTGTTGAACATAAAAGGCTGACCTAAATTATTCTAAAAATGGCTCTAAATAAAATAAATTTTATAGGGGTTTTCTAATGGCTCATGTGAACAGTTATTGGAGTTCCTTATAACAATATTTGCTCTACGCACAGACACTATATTAAATCTTAGCACTTTTAGGAATTTAAGGACATGTCATTAATGTTTCTAATGCTAGTGTGTGATCTTTAGTATATTAGCCTCTATCATTTCGGTCAGGTGGGACTACCTGCAGTAATTAGACTCAATCCAAGAGACTAAATGACTCGAGTGGTTTTCAAAGTCGGTAACAATTGACAAACACTAAAAATGCAAATATGATGCTGTACCTGAAGGTCCTTTAAGTCATCTTCAACAGAAAGACAGCAGCTATAAAACTTATAAAACATCCATCGAATGCCCCCTGGGCTCAGTGCAAGAGGTGGGAAACAAAAGGATCGTAACTAAATTAACATCTCTGTTGGATAATGTTTCCCACCCCATGCATGAAGCAGTTGCAGAACTGGAGAGCTCTTTTAGTGACAGACTGCCGCACCCTACTGTAAATGAACCTTGAAGCGTTCACATTTCTTTCCTCCCAGCAGATCTAAGACTTTATAACCATGAATCCAAACAGCCTCAATCAATTGGTAGATTCATGCTGATTTTTGCAAGTTTTCTATCTTAGTCAGTTAAATAACATGCTGCTGTCATTTTTCACATCTCTGATGTTGCTGCTATTTTCAAATATTGATTACTGTAAACATGTCCATAGCTGTATATTGGTTATTTATTCTCCAGGTGCACAGTTTTTATATTGTTAAAACACTTTACAGTACAGTATTTTATTGTTTATCTTTTAACTCTTCACTATTATGTAATTCTTATACATATTTCTAAGGTCCACATTTGTGTGATAGTTTTTTTCTATAATGTTTTTGTTGCTGTAAACACCAGAATTTCCCCAATAGGGACCTAAAAAGGATTTTCTATTCTATTCTATGTCACAGTCAGTTGTGATGCCATTCTGTTGGGGAAAAAAAATAACTTAGATAGAAATTAAACTACCTGTTAAGAAGCAATAGGATTTCCTGTAATGTTCAGGATCTAGAATGTGTGTGTAGGTGATCCTTTGTTTTTGAATTGTTTGTTACCTTTGTGGGTGTTTCCTTTTTAGAAGCCATCTTGGAATCTTGCTAAGGAGGAGGCCCGCCTCAAACCCAGCTCTCTTATAGAGGGGGCCATGATGGCTGAACTTTGATTTGCTGAGGGTAAATTGAGAAGGCGGGGATAACAGTATATAGGTGGACTGATTGCTGTAGTAAGGGTCTGTTCTACAGGTATATACAGATTGGTCTAAGGAGCCAGAGTCTGGAAGAACAGCAGCAGCAGTATACATTCCGACATTCAAAATAAAAATTGCAAAAAGAATATCTAATCATGTGTCAGTATTTACAACTGAAGTATTAGCTATCATATTAAGACTACAGTGGATCGAAGAAGTTCAACCACTAAGAACTATAATATGTACCGACTCAATGGCTACGCTAAATAGTCTTCTAAATGGAAAATCTGAAACTAGGCAAGATTTAATATTTGAAGTATTGCAAAGTCTATTTAGAATAAGGCAATTAAGAATTCTAGTACACTTTCTCTGGGTGCCAGCACATGTGGGTGTAGATGGAAATGAGAAAGCGGACAAGCTAGCAAAGAAAGCATTAAATCATCAGCAAATAGAAATGAATGTATTTTTAAGTAAATAAGAAATTAAAACATTGATAACAATTGAAACTCGAAAGAAATGGCAAACGATATGGAATAATGAGTCAAAAGGAAGACATTTATATCAGATTCAAAAGTTTATTGGAAAGGAGAGGAAAAGATATGGAAATAGGAAAAAAGATATAATTATTTCAAGGCTAAGAATAGGTCACACAGCATTAAACTACAGTCTTTTTAAAATAGGGAAACAGGAAATTGTGATAAATGTGGAGATCCAGAAACAGTACAACATATTATTTTTGAGTGTACTGCGTATGTAAGGGAGAGAATGAAGTTCATACAAGAGTTGAGAAAAATAGGGATTAATGGGAATTCAATAAAAGCATTGTTAGGAAACGAGATAAGACAAACAAGAGTTAATGAAATATTATTCAAATATCTAAAAGATACAGGAACAATTAATAGGATTTAGTTATAGGATTCTTTTTTTTTTTTTTTTCCTTTTGGGTATAGCGCAGTCTTCCAAAATTGTGCACTCCGCACTCCAGATCAGTAGGTGGCGGAAATGCACCTTTTACGTTGGCCTGTCAATCCGCCATAAAACAACAGAAGAAGAAGAAGTAAGGGTCTGAACAATCCAGACTAAAGTATAACCTCACTTGTTACTATTGTCAGCAGCCTGGTCACAAAGCTTCTTTATGTCCTTTAAGAAAACCTAAGTCAGTAGAGTTATGTGTGGTACCCTCCAAAGAACATAATTATGAACTTTCTGATGGTTTGATTCCACATAAACATGTGGTAGATGTGATGATAAACGGCAAAGCTGTAAAAGCTCTTGCAGATACGGGTAGTTCACAAACTTTGGTGAAATCTTCTTTGTTGAACAATATAATGCCTAACTTTAACAAACTGGTAAACATTACTTGTGTTCATGGATCCAACAGTATCCAACTGCAGATGTCACTATTGAAGTTGAAAGCCAAGCTTTTATGTTGACTGTTGGAGTTGTGAATCAGTTAGCATATGATGTTATCCTAGGGGAAGATTTACCAATCCTAGACAGTTTGGTTCAAGAAAATTCTGTGGCATATTCCTGTGCTGTCATGACACGATCCATGAAAAAGGGCTTAGAACCTCTGCCAGATGCAGATGATGATTTGTATGAAGGAGGAAGTAAAATCAGGAAATCAAAACGACAACGTAGACAGGGGAAAAACAAAAACAAAAGCAGGTCAAAACTTCCTGAACCTACATAACCATTAATTCCATGTGTTGATCTCCAGTGGCAAATTCCTAATAACTTTAAAGAAAGACAAGAAAATGATCCATCTCTGAAACCTCTCTTTGATAAAGCAAACAAAGATGGTGAAAAAGAGACTACTGTGGAGTTCAAAAGTTTAGCAGGAGAGCCTTTTATTATAAAGGACGAACTTTTGTATCTAGCAGACATTGATGATGTGATTGAGTACTGCAAATCATGTCATGATTGTCAGTTAGTAGCCCCCACTAAAGTTTCAGACCGTGCCCAGTTGCAGACTTTACCAATAATGACTGTTCCTTATGAGAGAATCGCCATGGATATTATAGGTCCTTTACCTAAGAGCAGTAATGGTCATAAATATGCATTAGTTATCTGTGACTATGCAACCAGATATACAGATGTTTTTCCATTACGTTCTCTCCAGGTCAAACACATTGTCCGGTGTTTGGTAGACCTTTTCTCCAGAGTTGGTATCCCAAAGGAGATTCTAACTGATCAAGGTACCAATTTCATGTCACAAGTGATGAAAACTCTTTATGATCAACTGGGAGTAAAAGGTATTCGTACTACTCCATACCATCCAGAAACTGATGGTTTGGTAGAATGATTTAATGGTACATTAAAACAAATGTTGAGAAAGTTTATTGATGAAACTGGGAAAGACTGGGATAAATGGTTGCCTTTTCTTTTGTTTGCATACAGAGAAGTACCACAAGCCTCAACTGGTTTTTCTCCTTTTGAGTTGCTTTATGGGAGACACGTTAGAGGCCCTTTGGACATGCTAAAGGAGAACTGGATGGCTGGAGGGGAACCTTGCTAAGGAGGAGGCCCACCTCAAACCCAGCTCTCTTATAGAGGGGGCCATGATGGCTGAACTTTGATTTGCTGAGGGTAAATTGAGAAGGCGGGGATAACAGTATATAGGTGGACTGATGGCTGTAGTAAGAGTCTGATGGGAAAGCTGCCATTTTGTTCTCAGTATAACCATGCTCTGATGGAAGAGACTTAATAAATGACCTTTTGTTTTTGCTCCAACCAACTTTGCTGGATTTTTCCTTCCACACCACACCTCTCAGCGCAACACTACCAAAAAACAAGATTTAAAAAAAAATCCTGTGATTTTTTTTTTTTTTTTACTTCAAGCCTGGAATACTGTTTCTCTTTACAATTAGATAGTTTGCAAAATGCAATAAAAAGCCTTCAGTCGATGCAAATTGCTGCATCATCACTTTTGATTAAAGTTACATAGAAAGATTACATTTCTCCTGCTTTCAATAGTTCTCCTGCTCTCAACGGAGATGTTGTGAGAGCTGTACTAAACGAAATAACATTTTGTATACACCCTGTGTGTACAAAAAGACAAAGTTTGTCTAAGTTTAACTCCCCTTTACTGGCTCCATGTAAAATCTACAACATAATTTAAAAATTCTCCCTTCTGTGTATACTGTAAAGCTGCAAATGACCAAGCTTCCTACATGTTTAAGATAAGTTAAACATTATTGATCTCACAGTGGAGAGAAATTCACTTCATTTGAGCATCAGCTCAATAGTCGAAAGAAAATAAAAAAGATGAATTATTTCAGTCTTATTTGTGGTTTGTAGAATGTTTAAAAGTAGAATTCCATGGAGATCTTTTAGTTTTCAGCCTCCACTTCAGGAGCCATTGCTCTAACCTATTGCTATTAGATCAGTGCCTCTGTGTTGCTTTTGTTTGTCTGCTATGTTTGCTAAGTGCACCGGTATCTCAAGGCAAAAGCTTTTCAAACTAAGCTTGTTTTTCCTGGAGGAACTTGCGGTCCTAAGGGAGTTTTCCACTACTATGTCTCAACAGGCTTGCCTAATATACACTGCAATGCAAAAAGGATTTGAGTGTCTGTGACTAAGATGAGCTTACAACTACATGATTATTCAGCAGAAGTTACTGTAATTTCACAAAAATGATGCAATGCTATCTACTGGGTTTCCTTTAGATAGAACATTTTAAAGTTATCCATATTTAGGACTTAATATGATTAAGGTAGCTCTGTAAAGTAATATGATGTGTGTTGTTAATGGGCACTATATAAAAAACTGATTTAATCTGATTGTTTCTGATTTATGCACTGTGTAAATCCTAACAGATTACAGGCCATCAGATCTGGTCTAAGTGTTTCATTAAGATGATTTTCTAGTCACTGGAAACCTGTCCAGGGCGTACCCCGCCTCTCGTCCATAGAATGCTGGAGATTGGCACCAACCCCACTATGACCCAGAGAAGGACTAAGTGGGAGAAAAAGGTTTCAAACCACTTAAAAAATTGCTTCATGCCTATGAAGTACTTGTGATAATCTGTCATATAATCCTAATAATCAAAATATCTTGACAAATTTAAGTGGCATGAGTCCTTCTTCAAGGTGCCTTTAAATTTTTTTTTTGTGATCAAATCGACCGTTTAGCAACTCACACAAAAGATCTTTAGAAGTCTGCTTTGTCATCTTTTTTTCATTATTGACTAAAACTAGTTAACAAAATTATCTAAATATGTCAATATTAGATTACAGACAATAGTTCATAAAAAACTGAATCTGAACCTGAGATTGAAATGAAATAAGGAGCTATCCTACCTGGAGGTGTTATTCACTTGTTTAAAACCTTCACACATCAACGGGCAGAGAGCAACTGCATGTTTCAGTGTGTCTGTGGACCAACCCTATAGGTACTCTGTAACGTACTTCTTAGAAAAGGGAGGGGCATGAAAACAACACCTTCCTTGTTTAGAAAAAGTATTCTAGTGTG